GTGGTGCTGGGGGATTGAACCGTGGTCCCTGGGCTTTGCTAAGCTTGTTCTAAGTAGGTGCTTTAGACCACTGAGCCATCTCACCAGCCCCTGGTCCTGGATTTAATCCATTTTACCTGAGCAATGGTGCTTGTAACCTGATTGGTTGACCATAATTTTGTCCCGCCTCATGCCCACCTCAGTGAGTTCCCACCTCTACCTTAGACCCACCTCACCATATGGTTTCACTCTATAAAAATCCCTGGAAGAGACAGCTTCCCAGGGCAACCCACTCATGTCCCCCTTCTGTCCCTGTCTTAGAAATTTCTTTCCCCCAATAAATATTCTGCTCTTAACCTCTGTTTATTTCTAAAATTCATTCTTCAGTTTTAGAGAATACAAACTCATCCCAGATACCTTTCAGGTTGGGAGTTTCATTCTCCTATATCAGCATGAGAGCCTGCCTGGCCAGCACAAGGTCCTGAGTTCGATACCCCGTACTCCGGTACTGCCAAATACACTTCTTACATACACTAAGTCAACACACTGGCCAACAAATTAGCTGTTTAAGACACATTTGTGAACAAGCCAGACCCCATCTCAAAAAACAAACCTCATACCATCTGTGGAAAAGATAACAGGATAAAGTGTGAGGCTTCAGCACACTGCCCAGTGATTTTTGAACAAAGTAGGCGGGTGAGTTCAGTGGATATATGAGAGGAAAAGTAAGGCCTAAAGCGCAGGCAAAGCAAGAGCCACACGGAGGGTGCCGCCTAGCACATCCCAGGGTGGCAAAGAGGCCACAGGAGAAATGAAGCAGGCACAGCTTCGCAGTGAGCTTCAAATGAAACAGCGCCCTCCGAGAGTTCTGAGTGGAATAACGGCAAGATGTGACTAGCTGGGTTACTCCAGATAATGTGGAGAACAGAGTTCAGGAGAATAAGACTTAAAGAGAGAAGATCAATTAGGAAACCTCGATCCCAGCTCTTAGGGAGGCACCCCCCTCTTTTTTTTTTTTTTTTTTACAAAATAGCAGGCTT